ATATTGGAAAGAATAAAAGAATAAAATAAAACAAAACATATCAGAAGCCAAAAATAGTCTTTATTTCATCACAAGTATCATTACATTCAAAATGTTGAAAGGATCGATATGGCATCGATTCTTTGGGATCTGGGATGTGAATCAAGATATCAATGCGCCGCTGTAAAGCAGTGAAGGTGTATCCTTGAAAATGGTACCAATCCTTAGGGTGTTGATTTGAGGTAATGAATATCCAATCAGAAATAAAATTGGCAAATCCTCCTTTGACCGGTACCTGGTAAGGATATCTGTCCGATATTTTGAGTAGTTCGTCGTATTTAATCCATCCATAGAAATCGTCGATGATGACTGCTCTGAATATCCGTCCCACCAATTACCACGTGTTTTATAATATATTTCATCTTCGCCAACCAATTTTTCGGCACATTGACGAACACCGAAGCTTTTGCCTGTACCTGGGTAATCCCATACAATACACAGTTTGGTTCTGTGTGTTCTCTTAGTTCCCAGGCGTAACTGACATGCCAAATCTCTGATGCCACGTCCGAATTTAATGAAGGCAACAGGGTGATTCGTAGCAACAGCGTTGATTGGGTCATCTGTAGCATCCAGTAAAGTATCCACGACGTTGTGCAGGTCATTTCGTTGTTCTTGAGAATTGATTCTTCCATATTCTTCGTAATTACCTCCTTTTACACAATATGCACGATTCTGTTCTTCTGTTGCTCTTGCTATTTCTACATGTGCACGAGAGCTGATTAAGGCTTTGAATCTGTCTATGGTCGTTGGTATTCCTCGAGCTGCATAACCTTGTAAGTGGGGCGTAAGGGTGTTTGGGGCAACTTCGTATCCCCAGACAATATAACGAAAATTGGCAACGTTTGCACGCAATGATGCTACTTCTATATTTGTATAATTGTTTAAAGTCCATGCTACGCGTCGGATTCTTATACTGCGATTTTCCATAGTCGGTCCGTTAGTATTACCGGACCGACTTCTGTTCTTATAGCAGTACCACCGATGCCCCTCTCCCATATTGCGAGATATCCACTATATAAGTGGACTCTTTGTCCGCTAAGGCAAAGATGGATTATGCTGCAAATGATGTATTTACTTTGGATGATATGATACGTGTTATGCTAAAGCAAGATCACTTTATAAGAATCTTAAGTGTAGAGATAAAGAAACTCAAGGGTGATTTAGTTTGCGGAATAGGAAATCCTATCCATATTAACAGGAGGTTACATATCGCAAAGATAAAATTAAGTATTAGAAAAAAAGTTGTTATTGGCGCTGCCAAAGAAGCTTAACTGCGATATTTATCGGCAATATTTAAATGGAAGATAATATTCCTTTATTAAGGATAGGAAAAGGTAAAAGTCGACCATATACAAATATAAAATCATATTCTTCCCGAGGAGGTATTGGACGATCAATAGCATCAGCATTACCTGTAGTGGTTGGAGCAGCTATTAAGAATCCTGGATTCTTTCGAAATTTTGTCTATGCGAATCCGCCGTTTGCGGGTCCAAGTGTTCATTCTGCTATTAATATGGCATTACGGAGACGTGGTGTTACACGAGTTGGGTATAGAAAGCGGAGGAATCGATTATATCGTCGTTCGTTTCGTAAAAGGCGTATTTTTCTTAGGAAGAAGTACCGCAGAGAGCGTGCTAAGATCTTTACAAGAGTATATCAAGATTTCGATGGATCATCAGATAAAACACCATCTGGACTTACAACTTTATATATAGTATATATATATATAGTATATATATATATATATTTAATAATTAATTAGTAATATTTATATATAAATATTACTTTATGTTCAATTAGAGCTAAGATCTCCTAAACTAATATGAATATTAAATATAAAATTAACTTTCATTTTTGAACAACTTTGTTCAAAGGTTGTTAAAAAACAAGTTCAAATTAACGTTTGAAACCTAAACACGTTATTACTGCACTACTACACAAACAGGACCTAATATAAATCACAGGAAAGAGGAAATAAAATAAGCCGTAAAACAAGGAAAACTAAAATAATAATATGTAAGAAGAAAAATATGAGCGAAAATGTTAGCTGAAGAACAGAAAATAATCACAATAGAGTTCTACGGTAACAGGACAAGATTGGACAAGACAGAATATCAAGTTGTACTCGGTAACAGTGACTTCAATCAATCGCATATAGATTGTTTTGGAGATGTTTGCCTCTAGCGGAATATTATATATATTATATAAAAAAAAAAAGATAAGCTATATCAGTGAAAGATGCTAACAGATACATTTTTATTCGTGTAAATTCATTATTATTAACACTTAATTGTTCACTTTATCCGTGGGAATTTAAAAGTCAACAAGCGTTCGCTTAAGAAAAACAAAATAGACTAGAAGATGTGAAGACACTCTTTAAAATAATTATGTTACGTTACCTCGTTTTCATGTACTAAGAAATAATTATTCTATAATTGCATAAACAATTATACGTACCTAGGTACAGCATTGAGTTCGATGAACTTGTCAATTGGCGGATTCCGTTCTTTAGATAAAACACGTCGAGATAAATGCGTAAATTTCAAGACAGTTTCCACATTACTAGAATAGATACCTGAAACAATAATAAGCCAAAAATGGTACTTAGAACTATAGAAAATAAAATAAGGCGTGTTTGATGGGCTTAATAGTTGCAACTATTGCAAACTAGCTATATCTAAAAAAGGAACAATTTCCTATTACAAGCTTGGAACACTACATTTTTTTTCTTCTTTAAAACATAACAATTTCCTGTTTGTTAGTGTTGACAATCCTGCAAACGGCTTTAGCGCTTCTCACTCTTGTTTTTTAGACAGGAATGGTCTGATAACTAAATCAACAGAAAAAACAAGGCTGTAAAAAGAACTTGCGCGTTTTTCAACACAAAAAACTATCCTAGGAAAATCATGACATTGAGTTGCTCTCTCCTGTATGCAAGCACCATTTGCACTCCGTAGTGCTTTACTCGAAAAATAAGTCACAGTTATTACTCAAATTTACAAATAATTCGACAATTAGTGGAAGCATTGACGGAACCAAACAGGAAGCAAATGAATCGTACTCTTATGCGGAGTTGCAAAACTCAACTTCTAATACGATTATTCAATCAGGGATAACTTATGCGTCAGGTATTACACACTTAACAATTCTTTCCACCTTATATAATTTTCCGAGAACTACAACAAACTCAGAGAACACGTATCGAAATCTCCGATCGTTTTTTCAACGGAGAAGCGTACCAAGTTTACCGTACTGGCAATTTTCCACGTAAGTAATACAACATTGATACCACACAATTACTAATACCGTTTATGACATTTTACATAAGCTTTAGAATTTGCGTCTAAATACTGAGTAATAGGCATGATAAGGAACTGATCTGAGGAAGAATCTCGATTTCTTTGTTTGGAAAAATTTAGCCTACTCATGGCATACAGTCAATGTCCATGAGCGCAACTATCGTGTCCTATATGTCTGCAACGTATTTTAAGCATCGGATCACATTTCTCGATATGGCGCTGCTAGATAACAGACACAGAGAATATTATTTGATTTCAGTGATATTAGCATATCCAGGCTGAGTAAGCAAGGCTCTTATGAATGGATTCGACGATCTACATACCCTTCACGAGTTGTTCGATGTCCTGAATGGATTGATGATCCCCTGTTTTTGAAGGCGTAATTGGATTGTTGTTGTCACCCTCGTCGAAGTCACCTTCCTCTGCATCCAAATGAATGTTGCGTCGTTTTGAGAGCTGCTCATCTTTACGAGCTTTACGTAGTTCAATGACGTCTTCCTTGCGACGCAGCCGGCCACTTTCAAGATCTTTCCCGTGATTTTTGAATTGAGCTAGGCGATCGTTTGGAGCCATTCTTAACTCCAGGTGCTTAATAAGGTCGGCTGTCGCCGAAACTTTGATTCCGAATTGAAAAGGTGAGCAATAATTCCTGTTAATGTTTCGCAACTGCAGCGCGCTCAGCCACCGATTTCAAACTGATTGAATTTAAAGATGGCCGCACCCGCCAAAGGTGCGAGCGGGAAATTTAAACATCGCAGCGGTTATGCTCAAGAATACCTAAAAACCTTAGCAATCTAAAAATTGTTATAACGAAATAAGAGTGAAGAAATATGTTGCGTGCAAGGGGATCATTATTGCAATAAACAGGTTTTTAGTCACTAGTGATGATAATACGGAAGCGTAAGTAAAATATTTAACGTATTTTGAATATTATTAGCTAATGATGCCAATGACCGTGAGAATGAGTAAAAATGCAAGTCAGTAATTAATAACTAATCAGTGTAACAGTTTGTTCTTGTCATGTCGTTTCCGAACCATGAAACGCACGTTTTTATTACTATTGTTAATTATTAGTTATTAGCCGATCCTGCGCGTAGGCCTTTTTAAGGACGATAAAAGAAGTTCGATCGACACAACAATGATTTCTTATTAAGAAATTAAAAGCTGAAAAAAATGGGAAATACAAGCCCAAATTTAAACCGACGAAATGGAACAAATAATGGATTTCAACATCTACCCTATGCAATCCGAGAGTCGTTTGTGTGTTAGTAATGTAGAAATCTCGGATATATATCCATTCAGAAGAACATTCAAACGATGAAGACCCCAACTGACAAATACCTATCGGAACGGAAAATATAGGTCCGAGCCGATTTTGTTCTGTTCAATTTATTTAGCTCACAAAAAAGTCTAAATGGCGGAAAGACTGTTTGTTTATATCTTGACGAAGCTGTGGATATCTGTTAGAGTTGAGTTCACTCAACTTTGAGCTGTGGTTGTTACTTTACTTCTGAGATATATTAAGTCACACTGAAAAAAATTGTTAAATAACTCTACCTCCAGGGATCAGCTCTATTGTACATATAAACTACACACGCATACTTGATATCTCAACTGACTCAACTGGACTATTCCACTTATTTGACGTTCGGCTTTTAAATCTATATTAGACACAATATAATGCTTTATATTTTATTCGAATAGTACGAATAAGTTTTTGATATTACACAAACCGCAAAGCCACATCAGAAGATAACTGAGATCGTCCAAATATTAAGTGACAGTTTTACGTAACATAAATAACATCTAGAAACAGCAAAACTAGAGACAATACTAAGTTACTACAGGCGATGCCTCATAGCTCTGAACCGAACACTTCGTCATTTTTTATGTAATGAATATAAGGTCTTAAAGAGTTCCAAATGTATTTGCTGTTATTTCACTGACATTAATATGGACTACGAACTTGCAAACATATTTTACAAGTTATCTAAATCACACGTTAATTTAATAACAAGAACACAAAAACTGTGTTCCTCGGCACATGAATCGCATTTCCCATCAATAGGCAAAGTTAGTTCTCTTCAGGAATTGCCTTTTTGGAACCTGTGCTGGTTTGTTTTACTTACTAGGTTTACTGCGCATATGAATATTACTTACATTCACGTGCAATATGCAAAACTAATCATTTCTAAAGAGATAGATTTTGTTGAACGTTTTCTTCAAGGCGTCATACCTCGATGTAGTACGTGAATAAGTGATAAAGTTAATAAACTTTATGAAGAAATTTGCAAATACAAAGGTACGTCAATTTGTACGTGTCCAACATTCGGATTAGAAGCTTTCTGGTTGCCCGGTGCTGCTGCCGACCCGCAAATGGTTTGTCTAAAATTCTCGCTTTTTCATCGTAAAGCACCTAAAAATCATGCTAATAGGTAGAGTGGCAGGTTTCAATATTCGTCATATACTGACTACAACTAACACTGCCGAAATTTCAACACCCAGGTCTCTAATAACGTTCAAAATTGGTATTAATTATCGGTTTCATGTGTACACACAATCAATGTCATCCATCGAGGATCCATATATCTATGTAAAATAAATAAAAACAGCTAATAAAGGCTCTAAACAGGATTCTCCTGGGGTCAAGTGGGCATCTATTGTTGACCCTCAATCTATCGTATCAGTTTAAAAAGCCTAATAAAACTTCGATTTCCCAAGAAGTTAGTAATCCACTTGTAAGTTCTGATATCCATATTTGGGTCGAAAGCCTTGGTAAGCGTTATGATTGACTCTACAGAATGCTTTAGAAAAAAAGTAAAGAAATCGAAAGGCACCATTTTGATTTACACTCATTCTCGTTAGTTATTTTTATTTTTACATCTATAATGAATCGGGACGAACAACCGAATTCAAAAGTTTCGGGCATCGCCCCATTGCCTACTAACTACTAATTACTGCCTACTAAACACGTAACAACTTTTACTACCTCTTCAATAATTTTTTTACAGATGATTGGATAGAACATAGTATTTTTATCTTACTGGTAGCTTTTTCCTCCGAAATAGACGTGTATAGACAGGAGCACTCTCTTTGTGCTTGACTATGAGTACAGTTTTGTAATGTTACGTACACTGAAGTTTATGAAGATATTTGTTATTATCAATAAAATGTTTTTCAATTGATTTATCATTTGTAGTGATTATCTACGCTATCTAATAAGCTTTGTTTGCATACTTAAAAACAATTTGGGGTCCTTGAAATCTTTTTAATTGTACTGCAGGTAATGTCGCTTTTTCTATTAACAAAAACGTACTTCATCCTATTTCTAGCAGCAAATCAATTTATAATGAAATGTAGATAATATAGAAGGCGCCGAATACTCCTAGATGTTGTTACAAATATGGACGAAAATAAATTTTCGAAAATTCTAGCAATTAATTCCACTGTCAGCAAACAAATGCTGTATCTTATCTACGAGCACAGATCATTCGAAAACCTATAAAACTTCTGCAGAAAAATGGAATGGCACAAAATAGAAAAGCACGTACATTGAGCAATCGTTCAAGGTCCCTGTAATTCTCAAAACACATCATTTAAAGGTCACATTACGCTCAAAAATTATTCTCAACATTTCAAATTTACATGACAATTCATGAACCATAACTACAAACAACTCTCTTAAGAAACCTATGTTTTATCGTGGTCAACTATGTGCTGCTGTCAGTCGCGTACTTAACTTCTAGGTTATTAAAAATGTTCCTTAAAGAGAATATCAAGACGATTTACGTATTCGTAGTGTTCCCCAATGAAATCTTACCCTGCAAGCTTAGGTAGAAGCTCTTTTATTCCCAGGTCTACTAATATACAACCGCATTAGTACACACACACACATATAGCCTATTTGATTGAAGGTCAATGCTTCAAAATGTATCGTCTAACTTAACGATAAAACATTGCATTACGAAACCCGCAACGTACCGAACTGTTTCCTTCAGAGCCATTACATCTTCCAAAGCCGGCTTCCGTAACACATGTGTTGCCAACCCATTTTTCAGCAGTTTCTTACTAAACCCGATGCTATACCCATTAAAGTACGTTATGATAAATTTGCATCAGCTTCTTTAAAAGGTTATCAAAGCAGGTCGCACGTTCGGCCATACGCCTACGAAGATCTGAGCAACCACTGAAATTATCGCTGTGGAATTCCATTTTGTATAATCAGCTAAGCACCATGAAAGCAGTAGATGAAACAATCCTTTCGGGATAATATGCTTTTCTGTAAACCAAGGCGCGTTTAAGCTCACTTATTGCCTATCTGACTACCCAACTATTGGAAAAGCTGTGAAGCATATTCCTCCCGTACCGAACGTCTTCCAGCTAGAAACCTCGTTATGACCACACAGGCTCGAGTCTGGTCTGCTAATGATGTCACACAGCGAGCGTACAAGCAGATTATTACAATATCAGTTATTCAAAAGGTACGTCTTCCTGCGGGTGTAGAGAGACAGACGAAGGGAGGTCAGAAATAGACTATTGCCACGTACGTTTTATTTTCTGAGCAAATTGAAAGAGTTTCAAACATATTTGCGACAGTACATGAGCACAGAAGAAGCGGACTTCTCGAAGACTGTAGCGATAAGACCCATTTTTTACAAGTGTAAAAACCGTAAGTTTGAGGAAAACGGTCTTATTTGTGTCGTAGTTTCTAGTTAAACTAAATAGCTTCTGCTTAATTTTATGATAGGGTCCGATTCGTAATAGTTGTAAGTAGCAGTACTGGCGTTAGATGAACTTCAAGAAGTTCCGCTAGAAGCGCACAGCAAACTTGTGTTGCAGCCAGCTAGCGGAAAAAGGTACTTTGCTATTGGAACTTTTGTGAAAATACCAACTCCTCTATGTAGCTCACTTGTTTGGTGTCTCAAGCAGTCTATAATGGGATTGTAATGATATATCGAGATAACAGTAACAAGGCCTCAGTAGTAGCAAGATGTGATAATATCACACAGGTTGAATGGCGACAGTCGCTAGAATTGTTCGAATTGACAACGTGGCTACTGAAATCGGTAGAGCGATTGTGGAACGAGATATAGAGGGTTCCCAATATTGCCTTCTACCTGATAGTTGCAATCCGCCCGAGTTTCGATTTGCCACTAAGTTGCAAAGTGACTAAGCCGCTAATCGGAAATTCACTCAGCATTTTTCTGTAGCGTCTTACATCTCTCGACAGACGCCAGCTTTAACATTAATATGTTTTTCAAATGATCGCATATGTAATTCTAGGTGGCTCAGATACATTATTTCGGTGCATCGAATTTGTAGCGTAATGTTATCGGGGCTACATTGATCAAGTTTATGGGCCTGTTTTACGAGCAGTGCAGTGCAGTGCAATGCAGGTAGAAACTCAAGCCGACACTGATCGAGCACGAGCGCGCATCCAAGGATAAACTAAATGATTGTATTGATAATAAAATATGCGATCGCTGTTTCGTCCAATCTCTATTTATTCGAAATTTGTAGTGTTGCATATACAGACGGAATTATAGGCATGTACGATCATTCCTTGGTATACTCAACAATCACCAGGCTATAATGCTTGGTAATGTCTGGTAGCTTGCTTCTTGTGAGACTTTGCAAAAGGATACGCCGTTGTGCAATTTCTCTTATTCTAGGGGTTAAATTTACTAG